GTGTTCTCGTCGGTAACTCAGTCTTCCTCCCACAGTCCAAAAACATGAAGGTCTCTCTAAATTCTGCATAGGAATGAGTATGAGTGGATTGTTGTTTGTCCCTTTTATCCCTGTGTTGCCCAGTCATGCACAGTCAAACAAATCATTTCTTTATTTTTCTGTTCTAACTTTGTTTCCTTTCTGGATATGAATGTGATCATTTGTACAATAATCTCCAAACTGAAGAGTGGCTTTAAAGTATATATTTTTTTTCTTTTTAATAAAGTTTCAACTAAAATGTCCCCCCAAAAATTTGAAATTTATTTGGCATTTCAGTAAATCGCCAACTTGGGGAAAAAAATAATAAAATTAAACCTTTCAGCTTTAAAAACTGACTTGGCGTCTGAATCTGTGACATTCTCAAAAGTATTTTGAATATATTATGTACCATCTACAGATAACCTGATGCAAAACACCATCCATCATCAGTAAACCATAAATCATTTTAGACATTGCATACCATATCACACTATGAATTGCACATTTGACTGTTGTGGTTTAATCCTTTTAATCACAAATTATTCAATAGATTATCATTGCCAATTTCGCGCAAAATACACCCTATACAGCTGCATAAAATCTGACATTTTGTCAGTCTCACAGTCTGTGTGCTTTTCAATACGCTTACTGCTGACTCAGGTTTGCTCAGTCCAGATTTTCACATTTAAACGTCATTGAGTTGTCTGGAAGTCCAGAAATTCACTAGTGCTGTTTTGTATTGCAGCAGATGGAAGAAAAGTGAATTTGAATTCCCATCATTCCTGTGACTCACTGAGGCAAATCCCATTAAACGATATTCCAGGATTCAGTGCTGCATGTGGACAAGTGAGCTGATGTTGTGTCGGACTTGCAACGGCTCAGTCAGCGGCTGTAATGGATCAGAAGAGCTTGATCCACCTGGAAGTCTGCAGTTTTTTATATCATTTACTGGTAACAAAATTTCACAACTTCCCCCAACGTTGATCATCTTAAGTGCTGTGCAGAGTTTGTGAAAAGAAACACGTTAGTCTTGGTGTGACTCATGCGGTCCAATAAGTCATGTGACACACTTTGGCCATAAAATAATAATGAAGCCTTGGAACGCACTGCTGCTCCACTTGACAGACTTCTTGACTGGCAGGAATAGGAGTTGACTTAATCAAGAGTCTTCTTCTCAAACGCAGGAGAAGCTGATGAGAAGAAACTTTTGGACAAAGAAGAAATATCTTTTTATCTTTAGTATTCTTTTTTTGGAAGCAATGGTCACAAAGGCAGTCATTCATATGAAATAAATGTACAAGCAGAGAGGAAAAAAAAAAGTTTTGGCAAAGGCAAATTTGGTTTTTCACAAAATTTGGTTCCTCGGTGTTGCTAAATCTTTGTGTCGGCTACGTCTGTACTGAAACTCAACTTGTACGGGCATTTAATCCACACAAATGTTTCAACATTTGGTAAAGTTTGGTCATTTCACAAACTTCAAAGAAGGGAAAAGAAACTGAACACAAATGCATACTGCATTTTAGAAAAAAAAAAAAAAAAAAAAAAAAAAAAAAATATATATATATATATATATATATATATATATATATATATATATATATATATATACACACACACACACACACACATTCTCTCAGTCTTATTTACATTCTTCTGACTTTTAGTAGAAAAAGCCCTGTGCCATAAAAAATTTCCTGTGTTGAAAATGCTTTTATGTATTTTTCCTAGTATTGTTATGCTTGAAATTTTACTACCATGATACGCCTACTATTAAGCCGTTTCTCAATACCAAAAGGTTTTCTTGAACATAAGTGATGGTTGAAAATGAATTCTGTTTTTTATTTCAGTCAGAATGACGGTGTGACATTAACTCTCCTGACCTTTACATTTTCCCCTTAATTAGTAATAATTGCATTTTGTCTAATTCCTTAAAGTTGATTGTACGCATTATCAAAGTTTCCTTTACACTGATGTTTGAGATTTTGGTGAGGTGGATCTGATTTTGACGCCACGTTGACGTCAAATGGTGGAAAAAGCCAGGCCCGACTGCTTTTACTCATTCCAGATGTCAGGAAAATAATTTTCACATGCGATGAAGACATGCTCTGCGAAGCCTGAAAAGCTCATGAGAGCTGGTAATGTTTCTCTTTAGTGAAAAATGAACAAATGTAAGAGTCATTCTGTTGTTCAACATGATTCAGACTATTTCATTTCTAAATAAGCATGACAGTTTTTCTGTTGCTCTTAGAAGCGGGTCCATTTGTGGATTTCCCAACCCCCCCTCGCCAACAGCTTTGCGGACTGTACACCCTATGAACTCTCTGAAACATGAATTAAAGTTACTTTAAAAAAAAACTCAGAAAAAAAAAAAAAATTCAACATGACTGTAATTAATCATACAGTGAAGGTGGAGACAACTGTATTAAGCAATCTACTGAACCTTTTGAAGTTCAGTGTATTTCTTTGTAAAATGATTTCCAAATGCACACTAACGCATTACATGTTGAAAATTACAACTCAATTGAACCATCAATAGTAAATACATCAGTACTAAGTAATACTAAGTGTTTTAAATTTCACAAGTATCAAACCTAAGAGGTGCCTAAGAGGTTTTTTTCCCCATCATATCTTATTTTTTAAAAAAAGTAATGTATTTATACAACATAAAAGACACAGTGGCAGTTCTCGCATAGGTGACGCCATGGGCAAGTTGCTTGTTCGGATCCTCCGCCACCCACCACATACGCAAAAATATATACAAAATATCCCGTTTTGTTCATGCAAACGCTGCAAAACGTGCCAATAATCGCCATTCATTCTGTCAGAATAAAGAATTAGGTCTGTTGTTCACCCGGGAGTGAAAAAGTATCTGACTAAATTACAGCACAAAGCAAAACCTATAATCACAAAAGCAAGGTTCAAAGTGCTACAAGAATTACAGAAAAAAAATAGACAAGTTGAAGTGAATGTCTGTGGACTGGTCAGTTTTCTGAGTTAAGAATGCTGATACCATTTGCAACACAACTTTTACTTTTAAAGTGAACTGGCTGCAGCAGCGCCATGGAGCATGCAGGAGAAGGTGATGGACAGAAGTGAGTAAGTGGGGGCCGGGGGGTCGAAAGGAGGTGAGTAAGAGATGACTCAACAGCCCTCTAATATAAGATACCCTGATGAAGGCAAACAGTGTCACCCATTCAAACGCCAAGCGAGGTAAGAGCTACTCTTTCTGCTTCTGTTTGAATCTCTTATTTACTATGTTGAGGTGTTTCCCACTCTGAGTTCACTATCAAACTTGTCCATTATATAGTTGTATTTATCTTTTATCAGTTAACTTTACGTGATTTTGAGAAGCGGATTTAATTGTCAGATTATAAGAAGCATGTTGTCACAATATTGTTTTTTCTGCCTGATCTAATCATACTTTCTCGTACTTTCAGACTACAAAATTAAAAGTGCAGAGGGAAAAAAAAATAACTCTGTTAGTTAAACACGGTGAACTTTGATCATGGCACACAGTCAGAGAACCACAGAGTTCTTTATATCACAAATATTTACTGGTACAAAATCTATTGAAACGGAAATTACAAGGCGACTCAAATGAACTGCATGTATATGATTGTTCTAAAAGTTTTATTAAATATAAAAAAAAGCTATATTCTGAGTAATGTTTCTCACTGGTTTTGACTTTTTTTTTTTTTCTAATTCATATTCTAGGAATATGTTCTTCTGTATCCAGAAAAGCACAATCACCATGGACTCGACACTAGTGGCCCTGTTTTTCTTGCTCCATGTTCTAAGTGTGGGTACAGGAAAACCTCTTCCAGACACCAAGAGCACTATCGAGCCATTAATAAAAACGCTTTTGGTTAGGCTGAACGCTTTCCCGGTATGTTTCAGAGCTCCGCTTATGAAATTAAAACAAGTGCAGCTTGAAGTTTGAATACATTAGCTGGTTTGTGACTACAAGTATGTTGTCATTTTACAGGTTATTCCAGTCAATCCTCCTCAAGAACTGGAAGGATTTTCCTCTATAGTGGTGGCTCTGGATGGCTACAACAATCTGATCTCTGAAAATCTACTGAATGTTGCCCAGGTCAAAACTGAGATCTCCAGACTGACCAACGACATCAGCGAACTGATGGACTGCACAGAAAAAACCCCAAAGCGCACACTTCCAGTGCACCTGCAGCAGCTGCAGAACGAATGGGAACAGGACCCAGAACGCTATGTTGAAGCCATCAGCATGGCAGCTATCAATGGAGCGAGGGAGATCGTCGAAATGCTCCAGAACCAAATTCATGGTATTCCATCTTGCTGAAAAACTGATTGAAGCCAAAGATTGAAATCTGCGCTAGCACTGTTATTGAGGTCAAAACTGTGCAATACATTTTCAATTATTTCATTTTAAAATGCACTTATTTTATAACAGATGCATATGCATTTCTTGTATTTTATTTTATTGTATTTTTAACCTATTTAATCTATGCTTCATGCATATCTTGATATATATTATATGGAAAGAGTGTTGCGTCAATAACGAGCTCTCAGTGAGAGTAATCGGTCTAGCCCTAACGCTGAATCCGCAGTTTTGATAACTGCAACCAGACATGAGATGTACTGTCACTCTGGGAAATCCCAGGAGCCAACGGGTTTGTTTGAGAACCAAAGGCACATCGTAAATGGGAACTTTTATTTTTGTGCAATATCAACAGCTGCTGCAAAATGGGTAAAAAGCAACAGTAAATGTCTTGAATATTTTTGTACGACGAGTGACGTTTTAATGTTTTGAATAAAACTAAATAAATATTCAACTTCTTCCCAATTGTCAGTGTTGTGTTATTTGAAAAACATATTTTACGTGTACCTAAGTTGCATGTATTTAAATGAGTAAAATAATTCAAATATAACCAGACATTGTCAAAATAAGGAAAAATGATTAAAAAAAATTCACATAAAGCAATGATGCACAGAAAAAGACTAAATTTTAAGAATTTTTTTTTAAAGAAATATGCAGAAAACCAGAACAAAACAGACAAAACTTCAAATTTGCTTTGACAACAACCGTGTCATAAACAGAGCAAATAAACTGTTCAGTTCAGCACAGTTCATAAAAAAAATATCTACTCAGAAATCCCAGTAGATAGTATTTTGTAAGCCATGGATTTCTCAACCACCTCTTCCTTGCTTACATGGTCATGGATTTAACTATCAAACCACTTGCTTCTTTTGATGGAGGCGTTCTTGTCGCCGCCCAAGAGTTTCCTCTTGTACTGCTCCACCAAGGAATCAAAACGGTCCCCATCCTTCCTCTTGAACTGTTTCGTAGCACTCTTAAACTTTTGAAAACAAAAACACACCAAAAAAAGTGATATTAGACTCAACAGGACATGAGGCAAACCATTTGTAACTGCTGCTCTGTTGTCGAGCATACACACAAGCTGAAAATGAACACACAGCTTTGTCTTTAAAGCCTTTAATAACTTTGTCAAATATTGGTGATTGAGTAATCTTCTGACAATAATTCAAAAGGCGTCCATCTACATCTCAGAATAAGGAGCTATCAAAAGGTGTTTGCCCTCTTTTGCGTTCTGTTTTTGTTTTTCAGTCATAGTTAAATGTTTCATATCAAACAAATTTTATTATTAGATAATAAAGTGAGTAAAAAATATGAAAAAGTGTTTGCTCCCTAAACGCTTATTAAATTGAGCTTTACATTCTAAAGAAAAATAAATAAATAAAGACAACTTGAGCTTTCTCAGACAACAAATAAGAACTGAGACAATATTTCCAAACCTGTTTTTTGGCCTGATTAGGCTTTTCAAATTGTTGTGTTTGGCGCTTGTTCCTTTTAGACCCTGGCTTTGTTTTCTTGGGAGGTGGAACCTGCTGCTTGTCTTTGTCGCGCATTCTGCAAAAGGACAAGAGTTAGATGAAATGCAACAAAAACATGATCCCTGAGATATCAAACATAAGCTTCCTGCATGCACAGCTTCAAACCGCCTGTTCAAATTGACAAAATAAACAGGAAACCATGAAGCAGACAGAGGAGTGCAGATGGAACCGTACCTGATCTTAGGTCCCCGATGGGAAGGAAAAGGCAAAACCTTCTTTCGTTTCTTTCCGTTTTGTAAATCAACATGTTCAATCTCAGGTTTGGTCTGAAAACCTGAAAAGTTTTGCTTCTGTCCTTCACCAGTGTCTGCCGAAGATAAAAAGAGAAAACAATAATAGCAGCAGAAACCAAATTCTAACAATATCGAATCGATTGACTCAAGTGTAGTTTAAGCTTATTTTCTATTAGAAATTTCACAAAAACAAAACAACAAACACAGTCCTAGAAAAGCAAAACTTAAAAGTCCCAGTTTCTAAAAATCATTCCATAAAAAATAAAATTAAAATAAATGGCTCTTATAGGTTTTTAATGAGTAGAGGTCTGGAGCTCTGCAATGACTCTTTACGTTTCACATCAACTCGTTGTAGAAATATGACAAAACAATTTTTTTTCCAAGAAGACAGAAAATGAGGAAACGGGTGGGGAACGTCAAATATTCTGAAATATGAAAACAAAGTGTAACAAAGGCTTGGACTTAACTTTCATCATGTTGACCTTGACTTAAAAAAACAACATGCAACTCTTTGTTTCAAATTAATTACAGTGTAATGATGACCAACAAAGTTTTGATAATACCTTTTCTGTTATTAAGCAGCTCTAGTAGAAGTGCAATATCAGAAAATCTTGCAATGGCAGTAATGTTGGTGAAAATTGGGATAACAATGTCAAGTGCAATATATTTCAAATTTCCTCTTCCTCATCCGTGCCTTCATTGCTAAGCAAGTTCACAACACTTGGAATATATTATATTGCACTCCAAGCAGGCCTTTACAATATACGTTTTCCACACCCTGACATAGCGATGACAATATACCATTTAAATATTGTGCAGCCTTATGTCATGTTTGTGAGTTACAAGGCTTGGAACAATGTCCTTTGGACAAAAGGGATCAAAGTAAAGAAGAGCAGAAAACAGATTTGGACACAAACAAAAACATAATGGTGATTAACTTTGTTTTGAAATCACAGGACCTGAGCAGCTTGCAGTTGATGTAAAACCCTACAATTGGAAGAATGTGTATTTAACTTTGTGAACTAGCTTGTCATTGTGAATCTTTTAAATTGTACTATATTTGAGATGTTACAGGAGAGTAAAACATTAGACTACTTATATACTACCCTTAAGTCCAAGAACTTAACATACAGTATAAAAAAAACCCTCAAACATTTTAATCTAAGAAAAATCCTTTCTACCTTTCTCCTTTCCTGTCAGATGTGATGAAGACTGTCCTTTATTTCCATCCTTCTTTGTTTTTTTGATGTCTGAACCTGTTTGGGGTTTTTTTAATTCTCCTTTAACAGGTCGATTTTGGATGAAGTCCTGTCAACAAAAGTAAAAAATATTAAGAAAGTTAATTAAGTTAATGACAAAAATAAAAATACAATATTGCTCCAGGGACTAAAATTTGCAACAGTCTCACAAAATATTACAAGAAACAAATAACTGCACAAACTTTATTTCTCTGTTTCCGCATTTCCTTGAGTTTGAGCTTCCTGGAGTCCTCCAGAGAGAACTCAACAATGGGTCTCTGCAAAAGAAAAGAATACGCTGGACCAGACTATTGATGCAATGGCATCTACATACAGTATTCTCTGTCTTTGACTCAAAATGATTTTTCTTTTGAGTTTGATCAGAAATGACATTAATAAGTGCAGTTTTATTGAGTTAATGATTTTATTAGAACAAACTAAGTATGTAACATTTTTACTGTCATAAAAAGTTAAAAATTGCTTGGCAACATCTTTGCGAAATGTATAGGGCACTGAGATGCTCCTGGTAAAGGGAACATGATCAAGAAAAGGTTAATTAAATGTTACCCAAGAAAACGGTCAGAATAAAGTTGAATCAGACAGAAAATGGATAAAATGTAGAAAAGTGCACCTTGTGAGGGCCAAAGATGTCAGGGTTGTTGTTAAGGTAGCGCAGAGTGGCGAGAGCCAACTCATGGTCTCGAAACTGAACGAAACCGTAACCCAACGACTGACCCTTCACTCCACCTTTCTCTGGCTTCCTGTCATACATGACCCGACACTAAAGGAAGAGGCAGGAAACAAACACATAGACATTCATACAAACACAATGAACAATAACAAAAATAACCTGCTCTCTAGTTTCAGTACAGATAAATTCAAGGCTCCCTTTAAGTTACCAATATATTTTAGAAATCTCACAAGAGAAAAATTCCAGAAAAACTAACAAGCTAATGAGTTCTTGTTTTTTTTTTTTTTTCCTGCAAGTAACAAAATCTTACCTCTGTGATCCGAACTCCTTTGGTTCCTTGTAGACCTTTAAGGCACATAGCTTTGAGTTTTTTATCGTCTACAGATTTTGGCAGGTTATGGATGCACAAGCGATTTTTCGATACAAATACGCCTATATCCCGAAGCTTGGCTCTCTTTACTTCCTCAAACTAAAAAGGAAAGCAGCACAACTCATGAGTCAAAATAGAAGTCACTTGAGAGATTTAGACGAGCTCAAGAGATCATCCACTAAAAATCATTCACCAAAGCAAAAGGTACTCACTCTGACTCTTTTGGCCATATCAGCCTCAGAGACTCCCTCTGCTGCCTTTGTTCCAGCGCGGATCACTGAGGGTTCGAAGGAAAGTGAGTAGAAAGCAAGCATACATATAGGAGCATCTCAAACTAAAAGTTGGCAGGGACAAAGTTAACGTTGTATTTTTAAAAAATGCATTACTCAAAGTGAGCAACAATGTAACAGAATTAGTTAATTGTATCCTAAAAATTGTATTCAAGAGGAAACTACCCAGTGAGCTAAATCTGCAGATTTCAGTTTGTTCAGCCCTGAGTAGTGACCAGCTGTTCAGAAACCCAAATATCCCATCTTTCTTTTAACAAAAAAATACATTTTGAGCTGTATATGGTCAATATGATGAGACGGGCAAGCTCTGCATTTCCCATTCTCTGGCTCAATCAGCAAACATTTACCCTATTCAGACCAGGTGGAGGCGCCAAAAGATAAGAAGAAAATTTCCTGAACAGAAGTACATGCATCAATATTATGCCTTTTTTTCTTTATATTAAACAAACACTTATACCATAGAGAAACTCACTTTTTATGAGTTTATTTGGGTTATACTTTTATTCAGTATATTCTTAAAAGCTGTGGTTTAGAAATAAAAAATGGCAATAAATATACAAGTTTTATGGAAAAACTTTTTAATGAAGTATTCCTATATTTTAATCCTGACTATTTGTTCATATTTGCAACATTTGTTTATGAACTTATTCAAGTTCCAAATCGATGCATTAACCATATATATATATATATATATATATATATATATATATATATATATATATATATATATATATATATATATATATATATATATATATATGTATATATATATATATAAGGTTTTTCTTCATACAGCACTTGACAATTTCTATGTCTAACATGTTAAAAGATCAGATGACAGCTAAAATGAATAAACAAAAACAATCAGACCTTACATGAACAAACTCAGCTTTATACTGAATGCTTTGTCACACACAACACAACATTGCCTCCATCAATTACCACCAAAAGGACTAAAAAAAAGAGATAATTAATAAAAGCTCTTTAAGAGAGACTGATCAGAAATCAGCTAAGAAACTCTGACTGGTGCATGTCTAGTTTGGATATGCAATATTATGAATTTAATAAGGACAAAGCAAAATAGGCTGAAACACTCACATCCTTCTCTGGCCAGGTACAGGTTCCTGCTGCCCGTCTCTACTTTTTTCTTGTCGACTTTCAGCTTCAGCGCATCTTCTCTGCTTACTGCTTTTACAATCATCAGCTTTCTGCCATCTGCACGGATTCCACCACTCTGGAGGAAATGTTACGGCGACATCAACATATATCCTAAAACTTGGACCAATATTGATATTGAACAACAAAGGGGCAGAAGTTATTATCATTCATTCATTGTTTTTTTTTTTTTTTCTTACCTCCGTCTCATCTTGTGCTGCTGCTATGCAGCTGTCTGCAGCCTCTTTAGTCTTAAACTGGGCAAACGCAAGACCTGAAAAAAAAAAAAAAAAACTAAAATAAGTGTTTCCTTCTTAAACCACAGAGGAAGAAGAGAAATAAACTGAGTTTTTCTGACCTTTGGAATGCTGCGTCTCTGGGTGGAGAACAACCTTCACGTAGTTGACCTCTCCAAACTGTAGAAGAACTTCCTCCAGACCCTCCTCTTCCGTGTCAAATGACAAGTTCCTAAATGCCAGATTTATAAAAGGTACTATAACGACTCTGTAGAATTGCTTGGACACATATAGGAGAAAGAGTAAAGTATATTAAGGCTGGTGAGAGTTGAGCAAACAGAAAAATGATCCCACCTGATAAAAACTGTCCGGCCCTCATTCACATCTGAAGGCAAATGTTTCTTTGGCTTTTGTTTTTGAGCTAGAGGATAAAACAGTTGTAACATGTTAGAGTGATTGTACTAAAGACAAGAGAAACACATAGAAATCATGTAAGAAATATAATAAACACAATGATAAAACAAGAAAAATGAATTTAAACCTGGTGAAATTTCTTCTTCCTCTTCATCATCACTGTCACTGTAATCCTCATCTGAATCAATGCCACCATCATCATCATCATCATCATCATCGCCATCACCATCACTATTATTCTCCTCCTTAATTTCATCCTCCTCTTCATCATCCTCCTCCTCTTCAGCATCATCATCATCTTCTTCTTCAATATCATCTTCATCGCTTGACTGAAGATCCTCCACCTGCTGTGCATTTGCCTTCAATCCACTTCTACAAAAGCATTAGCAACGTTAGCAACACTGCAACACTTAAGAGCAGAACGACGGCATCTGAAATGTATGAGCATAAGAATCACTTTTTCTTCACAGCTGTTTCTCGTTTCTTTTCTTCATCCTCAGGTTCACTTCCTGCTTTGGGATCTGCCTCGTCTGCAACTTTAGTTCCTGACAATAAAAACCAATCACTGTTAAGAGAAGGCCTGTTGCGATACATTTTAACCTTGTAGATCAAAAGATAAGGGAGTAAAATATAAGTACATCAATGTCAATATTCCCTGGTTTTCTAAATCTAAGAGCAGCATAAAATACTTAAATGATAACATTTTAGATATGAAAAGAAGAACTTTAAAAAATTTAACTGCTTGAACATGTCACAACAGAAACTTTTTTGTAAAAATATTTTGTCTACATTTAAGAAATGTGAAGCAAAAAAGTAGCATGAATATCAGTCAGCTTTTATTATGCAAAAATAAATCTATCAACAGATACACTTATAAGCTAAAAACAACTACTAAGCGTTTTTTTTTTCTTGTTTTCGTTTTTTTTTTTCATCATAGTTTTTAGGTGAAAAGGTGTTAACTTTGTAACATCGGAAAAATAATGAAAAAATAAGGAATTTAAGAGAAAAATTAAATAGAATTTGTGGAGAAATAAATAAATCTCATAGATATCCTACATATCGTCCATCCAAAATGACCACTCATTATTAGCCTCTACAAATTTCCTCAACATGTTCAAACAAATATTTAAAAAAATATAAAACACAACATTTCTGTCAAATTACATCATTTGAATCAACTGAAAAAATATAATAATAATCCAGGGCAGTACAAGAGTTGCAGTTTTTTACTAGCACACTGTGGCAGATAATCATGTCCTTTGGTGTTACACAGCAGCAAGCCTTTTTGTCACAAAGCCAAGCCAGAATTAATTAGGTGACCATTAAGTTCTGCTATGAATAATTACTGCATCCACACACACGTATTTACCTTTTAAAGACTGCTGTGCTGCAATATAGTTTTCTTTTGGCACAGCCCAGTCAACTGCTACTTGGCGACCTGTGAAGATTCAAAAAAGATTACAATGTGATGTGAACTGACCACTGGAAAACCAGAAACACTGTCTTGTGCACTGACCTTTTATCTCTTTCAGATTCAAAGCTTGGAGTGCCTTTGTGGCACCAGACATATTTTTAAACTGCACAAATGCAAATCCACGCATCTTTCCATCTATTAGAAAACAAAAAAGAGGAAATGTATTTCTGCAGTGCAAGGCAAAGCGTATGTGTCCATAAAGAGTAAAATAAGTACCTGGTTTGAGGGGTATACTGGCCTCCATGACAGTGCCAAATTTTTCAAATGTTTCTTTTAGTTCCTGTTCTGTGCACTGCAACATAAGGAATTTATTAGGAGAATTTAGGTTTACAATTATTTTTCATAAAGTCTATGCAACAATGCATGTTACAAGACATGCATATGTATAGCAGAACAACACTCAGCTAAATGCAATAGATACTTTTTTTTTACTTATCAGCAAATGCAAACAGAGGGAATAAAACTAGGCAACATGCCAAAAAAAATAAAATCAAAGTAAGCTGACTAAAGCTTTCGTTTGTAAAGAAATACGTTGTTGGTTTGAAATGAATTATGCCGAAACATCAACAGGTAAGGTGTTGGCATCAAGATTTTTAGAGGGCAAACATATTTTAGAGGTAGTAAACCTAAAACACTTGATAATGTATCAAACATTTTTCTTTAAATATAAGGAAAAGTTCTAGCACCAACATGTTGATGGATGCTCACTATTTACACAAAAAAGACTTAGCAAAACAGGTGAAATTTGTTAAGGTAAGTAAGTGGATAAAACATTTTTCTCTCACTCTACCAAAAAAATGCTCTTTGTACATACATTTTTTTTTTTTTGCCAGAAAATTCAAAGCCATTTTAATCTTTTAATCTAAAAAATAACAATAATTCATGGCAGAGCAACAAAAGACAGATTTTGCAGAACAGTTAATACCCAAACCAAAAGTTTTGTGATCAACACTTTCTCAAAGTGCCACATAAATGCAGACTGGATCTCCCATTAAGTGCCATGCCAGACTCCGAACTTGTGCCATCACAGTTTTTTCTTTTCACTTTTCCATTCTTTCCCCCTTCGCATCACCATGTACATCTTCATTTTGTGAACTGAAATTTAAGCTGGAGATACCATTGTGTCTTCCCGTTTATTATACCAACATGCCCAAGTTTGGTGTTCCGAAAATATTAAAGATGAAATAAAAAGCATTAATTAAATGGTTGGTGCCTTGGATTTGCAGTTATCTTGTGGTAAAAGATGAAAAATGATGCTAAGGGATACAGAACAGTGATATCCAATCAGGTGTCCAGGTGGTTGAAGTTTGTATGCAACTTTATTTCAGTCTATTGCTATTGTAAATTGTCACCAAACAACGCACTATACCTTAAAACTGAGATTCCTTATGACAAGTCTGGCTTGTTTAGATATTCTTTTCTTTACTTCTGTAGTTTCCTGCTCATGTTGAGATGTTTCTGACGCTTCCTCTTTTTCTGCAAAATAAAAAAAAATATGAAGTTATTAAATGGACTGAAAGCAACCTGCTTGTCAAGGCTTTTGTTTTCATGTAAGTTTACATGCGTATTTACTGTGTGTCACTGGTAAAGTAAATAGACAGCAATGTTTTTGGTTTATTTGGTCTATTAGAGAAAAAAAAATACTTTAGCTTGTGAATTTAATATTTTGTTTGGAACAGTGGCATTTATAAAAGTAGGAATAACATGGTGAACAAAATGACAAAAAAATGATCAGCCGCATTTTTTTTCTCCATCACAAGCTAAATAAAGCTATATTTTACTGTGTAGCATTACAAACGGCACCTAATACATACCTGTTTTCTTTTTATTGATTGATTTCTTTTTAGCAACTGAGAGAGACAACTTTTTCCCGTCGTATTCTTTTATTTCCTTCAAGGCTCGCTTTGCGTCTTCTTCCATAGAATAAGTGACGAAGCCAAAGCCCCGACATTTCTCTGCTCCTGGTTTATGGGAAATAAAAGAAAACAGCTATTAATAGGACATTCTTACATATTTACAATTGCAAATCAAGTCATTTCATACACGTCAAGTTTGTGTCACACATTCGCTCAGTTAGTGGCATGAATATTAATTCACCTTTTTCTCTAACAACGAAGCATTGTTTCACTGGACCAATTTCAGAGAATATTTCCTCAAGCCGCTCGTTTGTTGCTGATTCTGGCAAAGATGCCACGAATATCGTCACCGCAGGCATGGCTCTTTGCTGGCAGCTAAATGCTAACACTTAGCTCTGAAAAAAGTCCACAAACCGAAGTCTAATTTGCTCACTATTCAGCACTGCAATTCACTGTCAAGCTACAAGTATTTACATAAATAAGCCACACAAATAAATGCAATACGAATGTTTTGCTAAAGCGTAGCTATCTACCACATTAAGTCGCATGTTTACATGTGGGAGCAGCCATCTTGGAATACCAGGGGATTTATTATTTCTCGCAGAATTAAGGATGAGCTTTGCTGCCATCTATCGGCCAGGAGGCTTCTACGTTTAAACCTTTACTACGACCTTTTCTTCACCTTTCCAGATCTGCTCTAGTCTTAAACGAGAAGCTGCTGCCCTAATGATGTTAACATAAAAAAAATAAATAAATAACATAAGCAAAATAGTCAACAAAATGTTATTCGCTCACTCATTATTTTATTACAGATACACAAACATCCTTGCTGATTACAACATACTTTTATGACTTAATTATGTGATTTAATTACATAAGCATGAACACAATGATTGATATCATCCTATCTTCACAATATTTAAAAAGACATTGTACTATAAAAGTTTTAAACCACTTCTGGTTAAAACCACTTTTTTACTGCACTTAGGGGAAAATATACCTTTTTTTTTTTTTACAATCTTTAGTAAGTAAAAAGACATCTTGCTTAATATAATCCAAAATACAAAGAAGGAATGTCTGGTTAGTAAGCATAACATGGATAACAGAAGGAGAACTTAAAATTTACAACAACACTCTCAACTAGATAGCCTAATTATAATATAGATTTTTATTTTAAACTAAAAAGAAAATGAGCAAGAACACCAGGAGAACTTACTATTGATTAGTAATTTGCACAAATAGCACAGTGAAAGTTAACATTTACTTGCTGTGTTCCTTTCCATGAAAGTACACAGCAGTTAATGAAACAGCTCAAATTAAAGGCACTAAATTCAACAATGATCTTCATTATTAAACTGCGTAACAATCTGCTAAAACAATGGAGATTTCCAATCAGAACTACTTCAGTTTTCAAGTGCAGCTACTGCCTATTCTGGAAAGCTCTGGTGTTTTTGTGAAAGCACTGTTTCTGTTTACCAAGATCCACATTAGCTTCAGCAGGACTGCAGCTAATCTTGCCGAGTCCAACAGAATCGTAAGTACAATCAATCAAAGCATAGCCATTTCCTTTAAAATGCAGATTGTTATGCTCCCGTTTTAAGTAATGCGAGACTTGCAATAGATTTTACACAATCTATTGCAATTTTTTCTTTCTGCACTCTATAACAACTTGCATATCCTCTGTCTTACTCTCGCACACGTACATGTACGTACACTTGACGCGGGAAATGTGACATTGTTAGCCTATGTCTAGCATTCAGCTGTGTTTGGTGGCTGTTCTGGCTGTCGTTGTTGCACCATTTCCAACCACATCACATTCATTTTCTGTTAATAAGGTTGAAAACCACACAATCAATTTCTTCAGCAGTGATTTTTACGGCTTAATCTTGCTGTGAAGGGAGTTGATGACTGTCATCTGCCGAGACAGCAATCTTGTAACATATTCAAATCTTTTGAGATGTACAAATAATTTCATGTCATAAGCAGCACAGTTTATTGTACACAGAAAAAAAAAAAAACCTGAGAGAGGATTTGTAATGAAATGCTTGGTAAATTCTGCTTTGAATGAACACTAAAGTAGGTTCACGTTCAAAGAAGTTGTGTCCTTCACATACTAGCACCAAAAACATCCACTTAAGTTTTCAAGGCATTACGGCTCAGTAAAGTATAATTCTCATAGGATTATATGATGTCATGATTATAAAATATATTCAAAGACCCATACATTGCAATAAGCAACATGTTTTAACCACAAATAAGCAAGACGAAAACAAAAGTTGTCAAAGAGGAAAGTAATGAGGAAACCATGTCGTGAGTGTACTTCCAGGCTGCCGCACTGAACATGAGTTTTGCTTCCCAGTTTCCAGAATGAATGCGGGGAAGGTGTGGCTAAGATAAATGTCCAAAAGATGAAGGATAGCTGCAGATTCACTGTTTCTAGTCGACTTCCCACCTGAGATGTTGAGAAAGGGAAATGTGCTTGAGTCTTGTCTGTCAGCTTTAAAAGAAAAATAAAAGAAATATTACATTGAAAAGAGTGACAACGGTAGCTTTCTGTTCAACAAAGATTCTCTGACAATCTAACTTAAAATAACAATAAAAATAAAAATAAATAAAACATGAGGTCTAACAGCTTAATGTAATGTAAAATCTACCCTGCTGTGTTCTTCATTGCTGTTTCACAGTATCACTTGTGATAGCCACAATGGTTGTGTTCTGAATGGTGAACTCGCACTGAGTTTTTTTGTTTTTTTTAAATCAGAACAACTGAACCCAATTTTTGAAGACATTTGAGCTGTGATTTAAATCAAATGTATTTACAAATCCCTAGCTGCGAAAGCAACCAAGCACAGGAAGAACAACTTAGGTATTTTGAATTTAGCCTGTCGTAAAGGGCCTCACATCTTGGCCTTCAGCGGGACGATGTGGAGCGAGTGTAGGAATGTGTTTAAAGTGCTCAGATATTCCTGCGGATGTCGGCGTAGATGACCAGCGTGTGTTGAAACTTCCCACTTCTTGGCCGTTACGTCCATCCCAAGATTCTGCCAGTATTCCACCAATTTCTCCACACTCGGTGCGTCGCTCAGCGGGTCGTTTTCACAGAAGAAGATCAGCGCCGGGGCTTTGACTGGAGTGTTATAAAACGTATCGATGCTTGCGTTGAAGTAGTCCACTGTCTGGTGTTTAAAAATGCGGAAGTACAGCATGCTGGATTGCACTATTAGACTCTCCCAACGAGGATACAAAGTTTTGCCAAGACCTAGACATGGAGAACAGCACATTTCATTCAGCTGGAACAGAGACGGAAGATTTAAAATGGAATGTGCCGTATTAGTGTGTTAAGTCAATTGGATACCGACTAACCTGTGGCCATGTGCTCCACTGAGCCCACCACCAAGCTGTCATAGACTTGGCCTTTGATCCTGTTTATCACTGCTTGGTATAGCTGTTTATCCTGGGAGATATGGACCAGCAGCTGAGCGAACGTGTAGCCGCCAATGGAGAAGGCATGAATGAGGAGGGGCCGGGTCACCAAGGGTTCACTCTGAAGCAACTCCAGCAATGTTTTTCCACGCTCCAGTCCCCAGCGAGGCCACAGGAAGTCTTTCACCTTGTTTCAAGAAAATAAAAAAAATAAAAATAAAATAAAAAAAGAGTTCATAATGGAAATACCAGTTTATATATCCACTGAATGTTTTCAGGTTGAGAAAATTGTAAAGCTACATCTCAAAACTATACCTCCAAATGTTAGAAAAAGTAAATAAGTAACGGTGTACATTATTATTTATGGTTTAGTACCACCAATGCAAATTCCTAAGTTTTCTCACAATATACAGTGCCTTGCAAAAATATGAATACCACATTGAACTCTTTCACATTGCAACCAAAAATTTCGATACTTTTTAAAAATGTGATTTGCTCATTTTTGCATATACTATCACATATTTAAACCATTTTACCATATATTTAGTTGTATGTCGAGGGCTGTCCCTAAACCTCTTTCATTTAGGAATTTTGCAGTCTGAATCTGGTTTTGCTCTAGGATTCCCTTGTAAGATCCTTTTTTATTTTTTCCTCCAAATTAACCCTGACCAGCTTGCCTGCACAGTTGAAGACATGCATCCTCACAGCATGCTTTATGGTGAGAATGGTGTCTTCAGGTGTCTTCAGCTTTTTTTTGGTCTTGTCTAACCATACCACCTTCTTCTACACATTTGCTGTGTCCTTTACATTTCCTTGTGACATACAGCAGAGCAGACATGTTGTGATTATCTTTCAAGTAATTCATCAACTTTGCTATTCTTTCTTTGAGACCTTGTCTGCTTAGTTTACGACTAATAGTTTTCCAGTCAACAAATTCTCCCATCTGAGCTGTGGATCTCTGCAGAATCTCCAGAGTTACCATTGACTACTTAGCTGCTTCTCAGATTAGCGCTCCCTTTGCCTGTCCAGTTAGCTTACGTGAACGGCCATATTGTAGTAGATCTGCAATTTTGCCATATTCTCTAGCTAAGATGCATACTGATCAGAGTTGCAGTCGACACAGTACCAATGTTTGCCATACTGCAATCGAAAAAGGAGAGCTAGAGAGAGATATTTGGTTACATATCATATTTCAAATGCCACACATTCCCACAATGCATGCCAATACTATATCTGGAAAGTTTCCAACTGCCCTTGATGCCCTCCACATGTATATTTGGTGGCTGATATGCAATGGCTCAATGGTGGAGATGATATAACAACAGAAAAACAATTATTACTCACTCTGTTTTAAATATGACTACAATTAATGCATGGCAGGTGCTGTAGGTGAAATATTCTATTCACTGACCCATTTACATACAATATAAAATAATGAAAATAATGCCTTACACAAGCACAATCTTCTCCACCATCGAGAGAAGAGCTGTGTCTATTCACCACAGACACAGCTCAAAACAAAGACCACTCGGATTTCTCCACCTAACCAGTCCTGCAGGATTTTCTTTACATGGATTGGTGCTTCAGAAGAACAGTGTACAATGTTAACTGTAAAATTATGACACATCTACAAACAAAAAGACTAAATAAACAGCAGCCTTTAACCACAAATTACTTCGAAGTGCCATTAAAAGCAACTCTAAGCCCTGATTCACCCTCAGGTTTGTGTTAAAGTTCTATAAACAATCACTTCCACAAAATAACCTTTGATCACCCGTGTCTTTTCCCCTATATTGAAGGTTTGCACAAAAGGTCATGTTGTCCTTATGGAGTGTAGGTGATAAAAACAAGAGACTCTATGTTATGGTGTTGCTCAACTCAAACAACTAACACCCAACTCTTTATCTTGTTTCTACAAACATGGGCCTTTCTGAAAGAAGCGGTGTGTCCGATGCTATTTTCTTTGAGTCATTTTGGCAGGAAAACAGAGTTTGCTCTACCAACACAGAAGCTGCACCTTATTAGTAACTTTTACAAATATTTTACAAATAGCACTCACTCGAAGGCCAGCCCTAAGCCTAAATACATCTATTCACCTTAAACTATGCTCGATTCAGATAAGGAGCAGTTAACCATGTTAGGTAAACCTAAGCATTGTTTTTATCATTTTATTTGACTGTTTTATCTAAATGTGTTCAGTTACCTAACTGGCTCTGACCAGTTATTCTTTAAGGTTCTTTCTTTATCTATAACGTAATTTCCTACTCAAGGGGTCCATCTGTTTTGTTATCTCAGCACTGTTCTACTGAAGAAGGTCATCAGAACAAAAGCCAATTTCCAAGCAGAGTTGAGCAGAGCTCACCAATCTTTGATCCCGAGCGGGTTAGAGGTTGTGGATCTCTCCCTTTGCAAAGGAAGGAATAAAAACCTCATTGGTCTTGTGTCTGGTTCTTTACAGGTCTTGAACTAATTTTAAAACCCCCAACAAACCAGTTAACAGTCATGATAAAAACAAAGTACAACTTCTTTTACTTCTAGGGCTTTGTGTGTCAAGCAATGGCTAAATTACTTGAGGTTTACCAGTTTTCAACATTATTTAAATTTAACTTCAAATGTCCAGCAGCATAAAACAGACCACACTGTCATTACTTCACCAATATTAATTCATGAACCACACTGTAGTAGTTATTTTCTCAGTCTTTGACTTCTTTGAGGAGGAACCCTGACCCACTTTTCTTCTCTCTAATGAGGTCAAACTGCATCATTTCAGTATAGGCTCACGGTCTGGACTTTGAGCCTTTGCAGCAGCTTCATTCTCTTTATTATTCTGCCATTGTTTTTGGAGCTTTTCTGCTCTGTTTGGGTACATTGTCCTGCCCAATCTGGACCAAGCTTTAATTTTTTTGACTAATGGCTTCACGGCAGTATGATACACAGGTGCTGAGACATATATTTGTGATAAGATATAAAACTCTTCTCAATCTCACTTTCTGTAGAATGACAGACTTCAAAATGATCCATCACATGTATATATTGCCTTATAAACACTTCCAAACTGACAGACATCGAAATTACTTATCCAAGATTAATGCCTTTTTTTATTGCCATTACGTCAAGACCAGAAAACTAAACTCCTGATTTTGCAGCAAAGATAAAATGCACTACAGATCAAAGAAACATATCCAATCAGTGTTTCTTGATCTAAACAAGTAACCCCAGATTTTTATTGTTATACCTCGATATGCATAATTCCATAATGAAAAGAGTGCACTCCCTTTATACCAATGTCATAACTGGCATTAGATTTGTGAACTTAGTCCGTTCTTATTTTGTCTTACCTCACTCTCCACCACAAGCACATCAAAACCTGTCCGAAAATAGATTTCACAGTATTTGGTCACAGCTTGGGATCGTGATCCGAGCCACGGCAGCATCAGCATGAGGGGTTTGGGGTGCTGAGGGGTCTGACTCTGGACCGTTGCGCCTGGAGAGGTTAATTCATTCAGGTACAAGGTGACGTTCTTACAGAGGCGATGGGCAGTGATGCCTCCGCTCAGACTTGTCCTGGCTATCATAATCCTAGCTCCAGCTCGACCGCGTCGGCGTCGACAGAAACGACAGCAAATCCCCCTGCAGGGAAAACCGGAAAAAGAAAGAGATGTACTGTACATGTTCCGTGAAAATGGAATAGGCTATAACATGCACGCTAAAGTTCTCGTGCAATTAACTTCTATTTGATTTAAACATTTAGTAAACAACCAAACAATCCACAAACTTAGAAGAATAATTACATGTTTGGTCTCCTGCTCGAAACTCGTATGAAAACCCTTCCCTGTTTTTTTTTTTTTTTTTTTTTTGTTGTTGTTTTGTTTTGTTGCCTGGGTAACTAACCTGTTCAATTTGGTCCAAAAGATGCTTTAATTGTGGAGGAGCTATTTTCCGCTACTAGCGGTGCAAAACTAATTGAAACAGTCTAACATTTGGTTTAAATTGTCAGACTTCTGCTGTTAACTCCCCCTCTCTCTGCCACTGGGTGGCTTCTTATTCTGCTGTTGGTAACCAGCTCATGGGTGCATTTAGCGCCACCTATAACTTCCAGGGAAAGACAACGATATCTGTGTGGGTTATGGATGTCATCAAATGAGTTATTTGTCTGAAGCAGAGGTCTGCAACCCTTACAATATACAAAAGAGGCATTTTTCTCACAGTCCAACTATAGAATATTTGATTAGAACCGCAAATGCTGCATGTTCTTAAATAAAAAGAGAGATAATTTAGATGAATATTACTATACTATTTGCTGTCATTTTTAAAGAACCACCTTATTAAAATGAAGAACATCAACTTTTTGCAAAAAGAAGAAGGACACATTTTCTTCTATCAGATGTTTATATTTGCGGGGCATTAAAAACAATTTCCGACCTAATGACAGAAACAAAAATATTTAAAATAACATTAATGTTGCAGAGGTTTTTGTAATCTTTCCATAAAAAAATACAAAAATCTCCATTTTGTATTATATCCAGGTCTAAATATATTAGTTGGTACTTTATAGTTTTAGGCTAAAGTTATTATGAGCCATTTTGGAAGGTCCAAAGAGCCACTTAGGGAGTCCAGAGTCACAGGTTGCAGACATCTGGTCCGAAGGCTAGAAAAAGGTTGTGGTTCTTAAAGCAATGTGATCATAAAGTGTCAAAAGAAAAAGTGGAAAGTTTCTGTTATTCAGAGCATTCATGCACCTTTCATTTTCTTGTCCAGCTTTATCTGTGTGGCTTGTCGTGCTCCTATACGGGACCCAATTCCTGTTGACATTATTCTGTTCAGGAGGATTTGTCCAAACAGATCCAAGTTACTCTACATATCCACATAGTAAGTGTGAAGCGGCAATAATGTGCCCATGTCCCTTACTGAGCTCATATGTTTGGGCTGTCATTGTTCCTCCCCAGCCTTTTAGTTACGGCTGACTAGATGCTTTCCTGTGTCCTCATCAGACATGGAGTTAATCTCACCCTGGGCTGGGGTGGAAGTTCCTCTCTGACTCAGTGTTTCATCTGATTTAGCTTCACTCCCAAGTGTTACCTATGTGAATGTAAATCACATTTTCATGGGCAAAAGTTATGAGCAAACAGGGTATCCGTAAGAGTTCATGCTTCCAAAGCCTGGATAACTTTTGGGATACTGAACAGAAACATACGTGTGTGTTAAATAATTTCCTATTTGTTTTGGAATGCTATTTTGATTTCTTTTTGGACATTTTTTTTTTCTTTAGACAATAAGAGTTTGTGCGTATTTGGCAGTGTAGGATGAGACGTGATTGCCCGTGTAGAATATATGAAGAGACATTTTTGAAATTCTTTATTCAGTCAGACAGATAAAAACAGATGTAATAATTGTCTGAACTTCATAGTCACTGTTTCCAGATGCTTCCTAAGGTATGTGGATCATAGTCTATTTTAGAAGTATCCCTGGGATTAAATTAGGTCACGAGGTTTCTGGATTCTCCCCACTGAGAAAAAAAACAGCTCACATGGACAAACCGGATGGCATTACGCATACTAGGACAGTACAATCAAAACTAAAACAGACTTTTGCCTCATTTTCACTGGCTAATTTGTTTAAGCATAAAGAAAACATTATTAGATTTGTATTTAACACAACAATTGACTGCATTATAGCTTTAATATATTTGGGTAAGAGCTCCCTTCTTCCCAAATAGTATTTAATTGTAAAATGTCCAAGTACTTTATGTCTATTTTTCACCAGAAAGGAAATCAACTGGTGGTTGACATGATTCTTTTACACACAAACATGTTAAAAAAAAAGAAGAAGAAAAAAAGAAGTGGGATGTTGAGTTGATGTATTTCAGAGACCATAAGAACACTTAGTTGAAAAGTGAAATCTAAAAATATTTTTTAATACAGGTGTTCATGTCTAAAAATTACCAAGTTTGATCCAATGAGCTAACCGAAGTTGACTGTCAAACATTTTTGTTTAGGTTTAATTTGTACAGGATTTATAGTCTAAAAAGTCACATTTTTGATATATTTGCCAGGGCTGACTAAAAAGAAGGAATGGCTTACCTGAAATAGCCATAGAAAATTCTGTGTAATGAAGCACAAAGCAGAGGTGCAACAGTGTGATAAATAAACATACAAATGAATGCTTTTTAAACCTAATTTAATGATCAGTAAAATATGGATGCATTCTTTCTTCATGTGAAAGCTCAAACACAATCCCAAATGAAATGACATTAAATTCATTCAGCATTAATTAAGCAAACTAATTTAACTAGAAGCTAAAATCTGTTGTGAACAAAAACGCTCAATGATAAGATATATTTCATTAAATAATAAATTCCACGAATAGATGTTTTCGGCACATGCGCACAACTGCAGCTTCATGAATTATGAATGCTTGCTTCTGAATCAGATGTATGGATGAATAAATAATTCACGTATGTTTAAAAGCTCCTGTAAGTTATGCTCAACATGTTTTGAATAAGCATATCTCTTAAATAGAGAATACCCCAGGGTTGGCTAAAGAGCATCTTAAGGATCTTATCTCATGCTTGTGGCGTTCCTTTTACACCGACACTCTTTTCTCAGCAGGATTTCAGTGCATGAATCCAAAAAAGGAGACAATGCTCATGTAGATGTTGCTGCAAACGGTCTCGCTGTCAGATCTGTCCAGCGGCAGCATGTGGGAGGGCTGGGGCTGGCCGGAGGAGGTGGGGTCTGTCCCATGAGTCGATTGGCTGATGAAGAGAAGAGAGGCACAGAATAGTGAGTATGAAAAGAGACAGAGTGCAGTGCAGACCAAGACTGCAGACATGAAGCAGCACAGAGCGATGTACATGCTTGAAAAGGCTGCAGCAGAACGGATCACTTATGAGGTAAGAAAGCTAAAATCTGAATGATTTTCAGAAAATAGCACTGCTACATACCAATGTTTAAAGATTTTTTTTACTTTGTAATCTTGCAGTGTTCACAACCCACATGATGCAGTTTAATCTATCTTATTGCAAATACCTTAGTGACATACAGTATGTGAAGAGGCGTCATTTGTCTTTCAATTCTATTCCAGGTTTGTCACAAATTGAATCACTGACATCCTGATGTTTACAGTCCAAACATGTGAACAGACAACAATCAGTGAAGCTTGCAGACCCTCAGCATGGGATCACTGTGGAATATTTATTTTCTTTTCCTTCTTTCATTCTCTCTCTTACTTCACGCCGCTGCTTTCACTGAAGAAAATACCAAAGAAACACGAGAGACTGACTACTACCAAGCGACACGGTTTCTTACACAGCCCACAGAAAAACCTCGCCAGTCAAGTTTGGCACAAGACAGTTTTATGTTTGGACCTGAAAATGTTGACTTCCTGAATCGCCCTTTGAATTGGCCCTTCTCGTCATCTGAGGACTTAGACAGACAAGGTGTAATTGGCGAATACAGTGACATTCAGGAAGGTACTGAGACATCTCCTTTTTATCCTAATGATGAAAGACTCACATCAAAGCCTTCAGACATTCTGAAAAAGGACACCACTCTGGTGGAGGGTGTACAAACATCTGGATCTTTGTTAGGAAAGGCTCTACAAAACCCAACAAAGGAAACATTAAATTTCCTGTCAACTGAGAGAAGCCGAGTGTCCGCAGAGCATCCTCCGCAAATCAGAGAGAACGACCAAACATTGACACCATTGCAAAATGAAATTTCTGACATTCATTTTCCTTTACCTTTTTCTGACTCTCTTCCATTACCCACACCTGATTGGAACTCAACTTCATCACCTTTTATTGGATCGGACAATAACCCAGACTACCAAACCCCATCACCAGCAGCAAACAATGAGGGACGGACTGACGGCATTCCAGTGTCCATACAGAACAATCAAAACGGGACAAATTCTATTGCAGATACTATTTCAACCAGAGAAACAATAAGCACAGAGGGAGCCAGAGGTAAGAATCAAGTCTTTCAGTTCACAGGAAAGTGGTTTATGAGCTCACTCAGGACTCATACTTGACTAGTACAGCTGTAAATTTAACCACATAGCATCTCACAACAGAATCTGTGTCACTGCAGCATTTTTGTTGCAGATGTTTTGCATTCATCAGATGCTTAACATCTTTTGTAACCACTGGGATTTTACTCTCACTACAACTCTAATCTGTTGCTTCTGGTTACCTTCCTTCCTTATTCCTTTCATTGCATTTGAATTCCCTAATGCTTAACTCTTTGGAAACACAGTGATTGCATTCACAAAGTGTGCCACGTTGATCACCCGCAGTTAAAGCTTACCAGATAATATGGTGATCAGAAGCCTCATACCAGTATTTACTGTATGCACTCACAGTCACTTGTCAGGGGAGTTTGTGTTTACATGATTGGGGGAAGTGCACTTTGACAAAACTGGAATAGATGCCTCTTCCGCCATCTGCATGTTTTACTCCACTAATGTTTACCAAATTGCAGATCAGCTAAACCAAATGCAGCTTAGTTATTATTAGTTGGACCATAAGATAGACTATCCATGCAATATTGATATTTGATGAGATTAACACCCACTGTTTGCATTAGTGATTGCTAACTCTGTACTAACACAATAACTTTGTCTTTAATGAAGTTCTCTAAATAGGGCACATTTAATTTTCTAACCAGCTTCACATACTAGCCTTTTATTTCATGAGATTCATATAGAGATTCATATCTCTAATCAATCATTTATAGTTGATTGAGAATACAACCAGGTTCTCATACCAGAGCACATCTTGACCTTGCTTAATAATAACTACATCCCAAAAACAGTAATCAGGTCAATACTGGCTAATAAACAAATCACTGTCAGTTATGTTCACATGAACACCAACACACACAACTTGTTCTTGCTCCCATTTCTGTCTGTGTGACCCACTTAGAGCTTCACAGTTGCAAGCCTGCTCTGTTTTATTATGGATTAACTTCACACATACACTCACTGCTCACTCCTGGTCTCATTTTAAAAGCCAAAGCCTTCGGAATTAAGAGATGATTGCCTGAGTTGCCTGTTTTATAATTTGTATTGACATTATCATTTTGCTGTTATTCAAATAAGTAATCAAAAATAATTTAAAATAGTAGAACATGGTTAAACAGATAGCCAATAAAACGAGGATGTTGTAGGCACAAGCAATGTGTCAGCATCCTAACCTGCTCATAACAGCAATGTTCTTCAAATAATATTCCTGTATTTTAGGTTTTCATGCTCCAACCTGTTAGGTCATAACTGTGTTTCCATTTCTTACTTCTTATTCTTTGCCCAGGAAATAAGATTAGAAAGATCTCATCAAAACAGCTAGCTAAAACAAGTCATTGTGGTTGAATTAAATCAGTTTTCCAACATTCCTTCACAGCCATGTAAAAGTCTCATTCCAGTCATTAGATTTTGGGACTTGTTACTTTTTTATACAGCGTCAGGTTTGTTTTATCCTTTAGCAAATGTAATTATTATTGAGAAACAGCTTTACTCATGTCAACTTTCCCTGATATTAAAATTGGATTGATGATCTGAAACATTTAAATGTGACAAAAATGCAGAACCGAAGAAATCTATATGAAGAGGGCAAGTACTTTTTAGCAACACAACTACTGTTATGAGTCCTATATATGAAAATGGACAACCTGCTCTAAGTATGTTGGCAATTCTTAATTTTAAGTAAAAATAGCGCTTTTTGGGGGTGTTACTGCATTTCATTAACTCTAAGTGAAAATTCATTAATTAAAATGTGAAACACTTGGACTGATCATACGTGATCTGGAAAATCCTACACTGGACAGGGATTAATTTATTATTATTATTATTATTATTATTATTATTATTATTATTATTATTATTATTATTATTATTATTATTATAAAAAAACGTTTTTATACACAACAACAGTTAACATTTATATTGTTTTTTGGCATTTACCTCACTTAAATAATTTAAAGAATTTCTTTAAAACAACCAAACAAATTTCAGAAATATTGCTAAAATTGCATTCTGTACTCCTGACTCGAATGTAATTTATTGTCTAATCTCATGAGCTGTTCTAAAAATGTAGTAAGTGCACAATATTTTCCTGTGTCACAATGTCTTCTCTTTACAGATGATCCCAGGAAAGACAGCCTTAATGTCCCAAAGGCCACTGGCACACTGTTGGGTGACGTGGATATACCCACCACGCCCTGTAAAACATCAGATCAGTCCTGGACTCCCACCTATCCAGAGGATTTTACACCAAGTGAGCCATTGCTCCCCTCTCTGGCTCTCAGTCCTGCCCTTCTGGTCCCTCTGTATTCAGACTGGAACTCTGCCTTTGCAACATGGGGCTTTGCATGGGAAGCACATATCTACGGTCTGGGATCTGTCTTTGCTTTAATTTGCCTAATCTCTGTGGTTTGCCTGTTAGGCTTGCCTCTACGGTGCCCCCCTGGAATTGGATTTTTTCTAATGCTACACTTCTTCATTCTGGCATTTGCAGGCATCCAAGGCTTCAGTTTGCTGTATGACGCTTATAATTCTCAAGACCGTCTTCCTCCTCTGGTCACTCAATTGCTCTCAGTATTACCAATGCCCTGTTTGATATCAGCCTTCTCCTTGGCCTTCTTCATCCTGTCCTTGCACTCACGCAGCTATCTTTCACTACCAATTGCCATTTCTACCTCATTTTCAGCCTTGCCGAAGCCTTGTCTTTTACTGTGTATGTGCCTGTTGCAGTTTATGATCTCTCTCGGATGTGTTGGACTCCTCCAATTATTTCACAGTCTCCCCACTGTGGTCATTTTATTCCCTCAGGGTTTGTTTGTCTTAATAGCCATCTTTCTTTCATTCTCCTACCTCATCTTTTACTGCTTGAAACAACTAAACACAAAACACATTTACAGGCTGAGTGAAAATGGAGAGACTGGCGGATCACCAGAAATGGTACGCCCTGTAATTTGCCCTTTTTCCAAGGTAGAAGACTGGGACAGAGCAGCAGGAGCTGGAATAGGAAGTTCATTATGCTTGTTAGGATGTGGTGGTTTGCAGCTCTATGGGATCTTGCATGCTCTTGGTTTGGGTGGAATTGATGGCTTTGGGTTCCAGCCGTGGCCTTGGTGGGGCTACCAGATTGGCCACAGGTTCTGTGAGATTGGAGTGTGTCTGGGATTGTGCATTATTGGCACACATCCTCTGTTCTGCAACAACAACCCCTCTTTGAAAACCATAAGTAGCAGCAGACCAGGTTCCTGGTCCCGTCTATCCTGCAACTCCCCTTTGCGAGGACACAGTAGGCCCTCACAGGAAGAAGTGAGTTCTCCAGCTCTCTCCACTCATGAGTCCTGGTCCCAGGTTAAGCAGGAAAGGCTGATGATCTGCAATGTTGATGCCAAGAAGCAGTCAGAAGCTCTTCCTCTTTGCTCAATGGTTGACAATCCTGAAAATGAAGTAGACTGTGCAAACAAGCACAGCCCAAGCAAGAGTTCTCTGCCTTTACACACACCTCAAAAACCACCCAGCAAACCTAAGAATGCAGACGAGCTCCAGCTATCATCACTTGATAGCGTAGGTACAGATAGTGACTCCACTGGGGATCTCCGGCCCCCATCTCCCATAGACTTGTCCCGCAGCATCGACCAGGCTCTCTTTAGTGAGTCCTTATTTTCTCACAGCATTTTTAGTCCACAAAGACTATTCCATACTTCCTCAAGTTTTTCATTGAGCTCTCCTGCACAAGAACCGTTAAACCAAGGGCCCAAAAGTGTTGTTGATACTCTATACCGGGCCTCATCTTGTGGAGACGTGGATCAAGAGAATGCCATATCCAGTTCCAGAGCTTCTCAACCACATGGGAGTTTGATGTCTCACAGGAAAGCACATGTGCCAACGGGTCAGATAGACTGGAAAGGGAGCATTACCGGCTCAACCCAAGGTTTGTGCAACTATCCAAAACAAACTGGAAAGTTGCGTTCAAATTCCTGGACAAACAGGGGGCAAAATATTGCCCAAAGCAACTTTCCAAGGGCAATACCTTCTCTATCCTATCACAGGAAATACAGAACCCTGAGCTTGGCGTCCCAGGACAGTCAAGGGTCCGGCCGGTTACCAGTGGCTAAGCATCTAAGTGAAAGCAAACAGCTTGAATGGGATATGGCCGTACAAGCAGAGTTTGTTAATGTGTGCAAACAAATTGACGCCCTGAGTATGTGCAGTGACACTATTGAATTGTAAATACAGTTCAGGCAAGTTAAGAATTCAGACTGAGAGTCTAAATAATAAATAGACTATAATCTATAATATAGGTAGAATTTATGTTATTAATTTAACATTGCCTAATAATTATCTGTAAATATTGTATACCTTTCAAAAATGTTTTTTTTTTTTTTACACTCTTATTCTTATGCAATTTAGAGATGAGACGACTGCATCAAATGTTTGCAAGCAGAATATCTGCTCTATGTTTTTTGTTCAGAACATTAGTTTGGAATAAACTGACAAAGGTTTGTTACAATAAAGACTTCAAGCTCAAGTTTATGTTTATCATGTGAACTTCCTGTTAAATGGACGAAAATGGTGTTCTATCTGCAGTACAGATCAGCTAAGCTTTTTGTAGTTTGGGTGGGGTATTCTTATAACAACTTGGATGAATTTGTGCAAATACTTAATTATATTTGTTGTCGAACCCTGATCAAAGAGACTGTGAAAAACAAAAATGTATTCAGTGACCATAGTCCAGCAAATGGTGTGAAGTTAAAGATCCTTGTTCCACATCTCCATTTGCCATTTTTTGCAGTTTAATTTAAACTTCAAGTAAAGAAAAAGATACAACGGTTACCCAGTAACTTCAAAAAGCTTCCACTGAGGGAATTTCAGGAACTTTAGTATGTTCATTATGTTCTGCCCTTTAATAAGTTAATTTAAAAAAATATTAATAGCAAAAATAAACACTGATTTTTTTAATATAAAGTGTGAAACTACAAATTTTAAACAGTGCAAGTCATGTAGATCTTACTTTACTACAAGAAATGTTAATGTTTTCATAATTAACTCACCAAACCATAGCTGGGAAAATAAGACAAATTATTTATAGTTAGCAAATGAAATGTATATATATTTTATGTCAGCAAGATAAACATTTGCATAGCAAGAATATGTTGTTTAAATGTCAACCCTGAAACAACAATGGGAAATGAAATAAAGGCTGGAAAAATGATCTTCTTTGGAATCTCTGACTCTCTTCACCAAATGGAGTTAAAATAAGTTTTAGCAACAACGACTGTTATAGCCATTCAGTAGAACTGGAATTTTTATTTCTCTTCCACAACACAAAATCAAGCTAAATATAACATTTATAATTCCTTTTACTGTCTCAACATTTGTCTCTCTTCAAAGTTTAGTGTTGGGTGGAAAATGAAGAACCAGAAACTTGACGAAACATCTTAAAGACTGATACTTGTATGTTTATGAGATTAAAACATGCTAAATGTTCTACACATTTCAATGTCAACAATTTTTCAATGGAAAAAAAATCTGACTTCTGTGTCTTCAGACTATTTCGTGTGAAAGACCCAGTGACCACATTGGTAATCAATTGATTACCAATAGCAAATAGGATGCAAAAACCTCCATAAACAGAAATTATAGTTCTGTTGTTGAATAAATTTGCATTAATCAGATCCTTATTTACATGGGTTAGAAATTTGTTTTCCAATTACTTGTTCCATTGAGTCTAAGTTGCACACATTCATCAATGAAATTAAGCCTTGTAAATCTGATCTATAGCTTTACCGTGGAGGAAAATAACATTTTTAAGTATTTCCTTTCTATAAATGCCTGAATTAATTTCATTTTGAACTAATTGAGACACTGTCATTCTGCTAATTATTGTATTAACAATTTAACACATAATGTTCATAGTGTACATTTTATTATTCCTCTCATAAATTCAGTATTTCCATTTTAGTACAAAGAACGAAGTAAGGTAAACATAGGAAGAGGCATTGCAGAGGTACTTTTTAAAATTTATATTTATGTTTAACATTGTGTTTCTAGTCTATATTATTATACATTCATTAGTCTGCAAACATACAGATCAGATGTACATTATAATGTATTCTTGACTATCTGTGAGAAGTAAGAATTAAATATTTTCTTCTTTATATACCAAAATACACATAAAAACTTTACAACAGTGTCACAATGTTGACTTCAAAATACTTTTTTTTTTTTTTCTTTTTGCTCTGACAGTGCTAATTACAACTTGGATAATTTTGTTTTATTTTATGTAGACGAGAACAAGAATGATGTTGCCAAATTCTTAGGAGGAACAGCTAAATAAACTCAACTGGATGCAACATTGCACACACCTCAGACAGGTAACAGGTTCCTGGAATTGTATATGGTAACAAAGATAATAATTACCAAATTGAACAAAAGCTAAATAAAATGCATACTAATGCAAAAAACTTTGTAATAATTCAAAATAAGTAAAGTAATAAAAATTGAACAGGTGAAATTGTATTTAAAAAATCTGTAGTGTTTCAATGAAAAGTGTAGTCAGTAGGTACTTTTTTAATGGTTGACCTGAACAGACAAAATACCAAGCATTGTCATGCTAATAATAAACACTTTTGTAGAAGATAGACTTTGGTCAACAATGTAAGGTAGATGCAAATCGAGGTGCATATTTGAACTTTATGAAATAAAATGCTTTGGTATTTTTCTACAAAAAATATACACAGATCTCTATCAGATTAAATTCAAATGAGAAGAGCCTCTTGCATTTCAAATTCAAAAGGTGCCTATTGATTAAAATATGTCTTCTTTACAACTTTCCCCGCCCTATAGCATTGCAAAAACATGAAAAAAAAATGAAGAGTTCATAGGATGAGCCATGTGTCCAGTAGTTTGACCTTTTTGTCATCTATGATCTTGCTGTTTATCCCGATTTAACTCAAAGAGAGATATTTGAAAATATACTCTATCATCTTGGTGTCAACTCTCTATTCACATGAGTCCATTGCATCGGCTCATTGCAGCTGGGGTCGGGACATTCGGTCCTGATCGCATACCTCCTCGTCCTCCTGCCTCATTGAAGCCACTTCTTGTAACTACAATTGGAATAAAAAAATAAAAAATAATAAAAAAAAACATGATCATAAATTTTATTAGTAAAATAGCTACGTTCAGCACACATGAGTTAAGGATGGATGAGGATGTTGGTATGCAAGTACTTACATGGCAAAAAAGAATATCTAACATGATACCAAGAAGGCAAAAAGAAGAAGAAAAAAGATAGTTTTGATGTTGCAACAACTTAATTTCATTCCAGCTCAGACAAAAGCTAATTAAAGAAGCAAAAAATTAATAGCTGGTGAAAGTCAATACTGAATCATAAGTCCCACACAGATGATTTGGCAATATAATCACACTCTTACAAATTCTAAAGCACAATAAGAGAGATATAAAGCCAAGTGAAATGCTTACGAGTGGAGGCCATGAACTCCGCCCTCCATCTGAGCAGACATGGTTCTCTTCTCAAACTTCAACTCTCCTGAATACATCATCGACCTGCTACCCAACACACATAGTGAGAACTTGCTAAAGATTTCACACCACAAATAGTTCAAATAAATTAATTCATAAAGCATTCGTATTGACCTTAAAATGGACAAACTTCTGGCCCCAATGTCCTGGCAGCCATGTTGTATCCCAGCAATGAGGTAAGGAACAAACTTTTGCACAGAACCTTTATCTTGAACTGATCCTGAGACCCCTTGAGCTACTTTCACCTTATCTCCCTCACTGGG